AAAAAACAAAAGCAGCTGTAGCAACAGACCTAGTATATAGAAAAGTGGGATGGGGATGGAGGAAAGAAGGTGATGAAGGAAAAATACAGAAGAGCAAAATTTTTAAACTTGAGAAAAAAAATTTTTTTTTCTCAAATTGTCCTCTACGTTTGCAGACCACTGTGACCAAATTTTTCTCATCTATTTTCCTTTTTTTTTTTCATCTGTGTTTCCCTTCCGCCGCTTTTTCGTTCAGTAATAGTTTAATTTCAATCATCAGTTTTCTTTTTCAACTTGTAATCGCTAAAAATCATTTGACCAATTTTTCAAACAAATATTACTGCAAAAGGCGTTTGAAAATTTTATATTTATCATGACGTCATAAATTTTAGGAAAATATGAAGGGTATTTCACTGCCTTTTTGTATTTTAATCTCTAAACTTTTTTGTTAAGGAAAGAACTAGATGAACCAGACAATAACAACATGTTACTTTAAAAGACGTCACATAGTTTAAGAAGTGCTAGAACTTTTTTTGAGACGAAACTCCGCGAAATTTTTTGTTACTTTGAGCAGTGGTTACTGTCCGAGGAAACGCATTGCAAAAAAAAAAAATAAAAAATGAAAAAAAAAATAAGTGGCGAAGCCCTTGTTTGCTTTAACAGAGTAAAGACTTTTTCTAAACCTTTTTTTTTTTTCTGTCTCTTGGATCATCTTGTCTTCCTACTCCATTCCTCCCTCAGCTTGAAAAAATATTCAAATCTGCTAAACACTTAATTTTGTGAGAATATCTTAACAAGATCTTTTTTCCTGTTCACACTTTCAGAAGACTGTTCAAAATGTTTATTTCGGTCGTGCTAAAACGAAATGAACAAAAAAAAAATGCCAACTGCTGATTTTTGATGTCGTACAGTCAGTAAAACCAATGTTTTTCCTCTTGTTGTTGCTGGAGAACTGTGAAGAAGCGAGGCACATTTGAAGATACAATTGACCAGTTCTTTTTTTCGTTTTTCTTTTTCTCGCCGTTTTTTGACAGTTAGAATTTGTTTATTGTTAACTTTTGTCAGCTCTTCCTTATTTTTTCTTTTGTTGCTGTTATTATTGCCCTTATTGTTCCTGTTGCTGTTATTGTTGTCGTTGTTGCCGTCGCTGTAGCCGCCAACACTGCTGTTACCACCGCTGGTGCTGATACTGCAATTGCTGCCGTATTACAGAAGGATTCAATTCTGGCAGCGACCCTGCACTACTTTTTTAGGTTTTGAAAACAGTATAAGCAAATTTGTGTCTCCTATAAAAGAAAAAAAAAAGAAAAAAAAAGAAGCAAAACTAAACATCAAGAGACGATCTAGAAATTGAATTCAGAAATCAGCAAACATCATACACTATTGAAATTAACAATTTTTACAACGGCATTTTATAGATTTCACGAAAGTGTTCCAGAGCAGTTTTGTTTATCGTTCTCGTCATCTCGTCTAATTTACAACAAGAATGAAGATGCTGTAAAAAAATTTTTAATCTGATTATTGTTTTATAGTGACAGAGTAGCCTAAATAGATAAAATTAAAATGAGAGTTGAAAGGGAAAGTGAAGAAGAAGAAGAAGAAGAAGAAGAAGAAGAAGAAGAAGGACGTTTGAAGTTTAAAATCAAATATTTATAGTGCGTACTACTTTTATTTTTACTTTTCATCGCTGCTGCATAGCCTGAGTGAAAAGCAGACGTTCTAACCTTTATCCAATTGGGCAAATCCAGAATAATTTAAAATGCTAATAACTAAATAACTAAAGTAATCAGCTAACTGGCTGACCAGATGCTTTATTTAGCTAAAACCTTAAAAACTTAAAAAACCATCATCACTTTCGTTTTGCTTCTTAGTCGGAAGTGTTGCTTCATTCAACTTGCATCGGCTTTCTGCATTCTTTGGAACCTTGTATCAGAGAAACCAACAGTAATATACTGATTCCTTGCTGACAGACTCTAGTAGAGTTTAGGCCAAGACAAGCGATGGAATAAAACAGATTACAGAGTCTTTAATTAGTAAATATAGAAAAAGATACGTCAAATAAATTTGTCATAATTCTGATTAATTTTGTTTGACTGTTTTTTTTTTCATTTGATATTTTTTCTCACCGCTTTTTAACGCTTTGATATTCTTGAATAGCGAATAAAAATCTTTGCTGCAAAAATGAGAGGTTATAACAAAAACATCAACAGCATTTCTACAGATTAATAAATTTAAATTATTTGAAAGTAGTTTGGTTGAATAAAGTTCAAAGCATTTTTTATTTTTCTCCCTCTCTCCCTCCGGTCTTCTCTCCCCGGCCCACCTCCCTCCCTCTCCATCAGTTCCACCTTACATTGTACAGCAAATGCAAAGACTGTTCGATGTTGTTATGCTAACAAAAAAAAACTTTATTGATGAAAAACTAACAGCATCATTGAGGAGATATACAACCAAGAAACCAACTGCTACACGGTCATATAGTTACAGATACTGTTAACTGATACGCGGATTTTAAGCAATTCTAGCCAGTCTTTCCTCAATCTTTCTTTGCCAATTTTCCTCCTTACAGCTAATTAAACAGCATAAAAAAACAAGGAATGCAGTAGACAACAGAACCAAAAAAGACGGTTATTTTAGAAAGTTATTCTTTTCCGAAAAATATCTAACTAATGAACCAAGAAATAGTAACTTTCCAGCTACACTAAAGATTGTTGCATGTGCCATATTTTGCATAAACCATTGTCCTATGCTTGCCAGCCAATATTTCATGTGTTCATATACCACAAATGTTCCAGCGTTCAAGTTAAGTTGTAACCACAGCTCCGAATATTTGAAATTGGCCATAAATATCAGAGACATAACAGTAAGAAGCTAAAAAATGCACATTCAAATTATTGAAATTTTACTTTAATGAAATTTGTGCAAGTAAATAAAGAGAAAAAAATTAAGGTTTTTTAATTTACTTTATAGTTCCTGTTTACTAAGAGGATTTTACTCATTTATCCTACTTGCACAAACTTTGTTCAGAATAAATTGCTCTTA